TTCGTACGAGCACCACTACGGCGGCCACCACTTGAACCGAACCATTTCGGATACCCAATAATCTCAAAGCAAGCAGTGGCAAGATGGCCCATTCGGCCACAATGAGAACACGTGGAACGGTCGTCAGCACGTCGGCCAACAAGTTTGGCGTTACCTTCGACAGATGTCGAAGAATATGCCATAGATCTTCTATAACGAGGATTGAAGGAGAGAATAATTCCAACTGGAAGAACAATTACGGACCCGGGCTACAACGTCTCTACCCTTGCTGGACGTGGACGAGGGAATGCGAGAGAACTGAGTCGGGTAGAGTAGAAAGAATTATAGAACTCTGAATCTGGGCCGATGGAAATTTGACCCCTTTTTTTTTTTTTTTACGTCCACAGCAACTAATGCTTAAGGCTTTTCCAAACAAAAAACTCAAATTCCAAAGGAACCTGAAGACGTGCGCAACTAAAAAACAAAAAACTCAAATTCCAAAAGCAACTAATGGTGAAGGATTTTTTTTTTTAATTGTGGTGGGTATTCATTCAATCTGCAGCCAGCAACTATGGAGTGTATACTACAGCAATCGATCGGCGGGACGCAGCCGACCACGGAAACAAAAATTGTGCACAAATAGATCTATCGGATGCGATCAGATCAGATTAATCAGAAAAAAAATATTTTGCCATCTTCGCCTCTGATACAAAAGTAGGATGATTCAATATTCTCTTAACCATGAATATATATATACAAAATTAGAGCTACAATTACCTAAAGAGAACCTAAGGCTAATATAGTAATTACACAAATATACACAATAACAATCTATGATGATATTTTTTTCTTTAAGTATTATATATCTTGTGGTTTCTCGTAGTTATCCAGGAAAACAAAAGTTCCAAATTCTCTTTTCTTCGTTTCAATTTTTTTTTTCTTTTTTTTTTTAATTGGGCAAAAAAGTAGGAAAACCAATTAAACTCTTTTAATCAGACCAACTCCAAATCCCATTTTCAAACCATCGTCCCTTGTAATTGTTACCGTGCAGCAAATTTTGCGGCAGGTCACTTGGAGACGTTATTTTGCGACAGATTGTTTGGCGACGTTAGCTCACTCTTGTCCTAACGGTTGCCAGAGATTAATTGATCCACCGATAGAAGTCAATCCGTGATTAACGTATGACGTCTTTGGCGTTGCGTACCCACGAAATACCACTATCTAGAGGTGTTAGGCTACGGCCTCATTCCTTTGTAAAAAAAAAAAAAAGTACTCCTAAATATCTATTAATATATAAAGAGAGAATGATATTTATTTGAAAAAAGATCAAGAAAATCAGTAAAAAAAAGAATTCATCTCCCACCTAAAATCAATATAATGAAACTAAATATTTTTGGCAAAAAGTTGAAATTTGAGCGCCATCCAACCAATTTTGAAAAATTTGAAAAAAAAAATTAAATTAAGAAATCTAAATAAAAGATTACATGAAGATTTTTTGAGAATTCCATATTATCTAACTTTCATACAGTAGAAATGAGACACTTGTCCTATTTTCATTGGTCCACTATAAATTTTATATGATAAGATAAGCATAACTCAAATTACTGATATTATTTTATTTTAAAAAATAAAATAAAAAATACCAAAATTCGTATTTTTTTATACTCTATAAATAGAGACCACTTTTGATATGTTTTGGAACACAATTGAAATTATTATGTTGAGTTATGTTGTAGATAAAACAATACCAAACAATGTATTGTAGATAATATTTATTAAATAAATAAATAAAAATAAAATAAATATTATACTATCATTATTAGGTCACCAACTAAAAAATAATAAAAGAATAAAAAAATAGCAAAATCCGCGACTCAGGTCAAATTGTGACCCTGGATCGCAACCTAGCCACAAGAAGGGAGAGAGAAATGAGGTGAGTGAAATTGGGCAAGTGTCTCATTCTTATTGGTCTATAATTTTTTTTATAATAAGATAATTGTAACTCAAATTATTGATATTAATTTATATGAAATAAATAGATAAAAATTTATTTTTCAGTCTCTATAAATAGAGACCACTCTTGATATATTTTGGAACATAATTACAATTTCTATCTTTTCACTTTTTTTCTTAATCGTAACTTATCAATTTTATCATATCTTTTATTTTATCATATCACAACTAAAACAATAACAAAAAAATTATTGTAGATAATATTTAATATATATATATATATATATAAAAATAAATATAAAATAAATATTATGTTGGGTTGAGTTAGGTTGGGTTTGGGATAAAGGACTATTCTACTATGCCTTTTCCAGATATGGGTAGTATTAATCCAAGTGCGAACCGTCTGGTTTTGGATGAACTTAACTATGACCGTAAGGCTCTAGCTATTGAGCATGATGTATTGCTGACACATATGACCGATGAACAGAAGGGTTTCCAAAATAATGACATTTGTTCATTCCGGCAGGGGCGGCGTTTTTTTTGTGTATGGTTATGGTGGAACTGGAAAGACATACTTATGGAGGACTTTAGCTGCTCGACTAAGATTGAACGGTCGAATTGTGCTTTGTGTTGCATCAAGTGGAATAGCATCTCTCCTGTTGCCGGGCGGACGAACTGCACAATATTCTCGATTTGGCATTCTTATTTTTGGGCATGAAAATTCATCGTGTGAGATCAATCAGGCTAGCCCCCTTGCCGAGTTGATTATTCGCTCTTCATTGATCATATGAGATGAGGCCCCAATGATGCATAAGAATTGTTTTGAAGCTGTTCAAGCATCTTTTAAGGCATTAATGGGAGCCCTGGACCCTGCAAATCATCATAAACCGTTCGGAGGCAAGACTGTTTTGTATGGTGGAGACTTTCTGCAAATCCTTCCGGTAGTTCCAAAAGGGAGTCGTCAAGAGATTGTTAATGTTGCTATTAACTCTTCTAGCATTTGGGGAGAATGTACTGTGATTAGGCTTACAAAGAATATGCGTCTTCAGAGCATTGGCGATTCGAATGAACGTGACGAGTTGGCCGCTTTTGCTGATTGGATAGCGAGCATTGGAGATGGAACATTGGGGGATAAAAATGATGGATGTTCTCCGATAGACGTACCAGATGATCTATTACTAGAGTCATCCGATGATCCAATTGCAAAAATTGTTGAAAGCACGTTTCCGATGTTCAAGAATGCAACCGACGATTCAAGTTACTAGAAGGATAGAGCTATACTTGCGCCAACACTTGATATCATAGAATCTATTAATGAATACATGTCGTCGTTAAATTTGACTGAGGGACGCACGTATTTAAGTTCAGAAAGTACGTGTAAATTCGACTCCAATACTGACTTTGTGGCACAACTCCATACTCCTGAGTTCTTGAACACTATCAAGTGTTCTGGAACGCCGAACCATGAATTGAATTTGAAGGTCGGAACTCCAGTTATGTTGTTGCGGAATATCGATCACTCAATGGGACTCTGCAATGGTACACGATTGGTTGTGATAAAACTCTCCAATCATGTTTTCGAGTGTAAATTTCTTACGGGCGATCATGCAGGTGATAAAATTTTGATACCTCGGATGACAATAACTCCTTCTGATGTCAGAGTACCATCCAAATTTCAAAGAAGGCACTTCCCCATCATGGTTTCGTACGCAATGACTATAAACAAGAGTCAAAGTCAATAATTATCGCATGTTGGCTTATTCTTGAAGAAACCAGTTTTTAGTCATGGTCAGTTATATGTCGCTGTCTCCCATGTTACTAACAGGAAGGGTCTGAAGATTTTAATTTGTGGAGAAGAAAGTTTGAAAGAAAATCAAATCAATAATGTTGTGTACAGAGAAGTGTTTAATAATATATGATTTTTGTTTATATTTTGTATTCCTCTATCCCCTTTCTATTGTAATTAAATTATTGATTTATAAAAAAATATTTAAAATAAAGTTTAAAAAAAAAAGTTTGAGGAAATAACCGCTGTGCTGCGCATGGGTACCATACTAGTTATTGAGTATAAGGAAATAATATATTTTAAAGAAACAATATATATTTTAAATAGATATCAGCCCATTCTAGAAAAAATCTTTAGGCTAATGTGAAAGGGAAGAAGAATAATCAAGAAAAACTGAACAAATTATATAATCAGAAACCAACATCGTTGACTAAATACTTGTTACAGAGGCTAAATCATTGATTAATTGTATATGGCATATGCCCTTCATAGGGTTAAATACACGGCAACACACCATTGTTGATTTTTTGCCCCCCAACTGCTCCATCCATTGACTGGGCTAAATTTCATTGTTTACTATTTATTTTTTATAAATTTTTTTTATATTTTTATGTTAACACTAACATTCATTAATTTATTAATTGCCTTCTCTTAGCAGAAAAATACACAAAGATATAAATTTTGACAAATTATAACACGGTTTAACTATTACACTAAACACCGATATCATTTGTTTGAATTAAATATTGTTCATAAGTTATGTATGAAAGTAGCATTTTCCTAACTTTTGAACCAAACCAAGTCGTTGCCCAAGCTTTTTTTTTTTTTTTTATAAAGAAGTAGGCAAGAGGCCTAGTAATTAGACAAGAATGCGTCGGAAATACGACATCCTGATAATATCATGTTGAAATCATTCACTCACATTTGGAGGAGGCGTAGAGAGCTCATGGAGACCAATCGGATAGGAGGAGGCCAAGCTCGCTAAATGGTTGTTGCCCAAGCTTTATGTATGCAATTTCCCACAAAACTGTAAATAAATATAAAAATAATATATAAAAAATAAAACAAAGCAGAAATTTCCACCACAAGTGACGCATTATTGAGACCAAGTCAAAATTCAAAAGGTCCTTGGCCACATTTCCCATCTATAAAATCTTGATAGCTATCGTAATCCATCTTGCTCACCCTCTTACCACATATTCACACACCATCAATACAAAAACAGAACTACTCGCATTTTCCCGGAAAATAAAAATAAAGGGGTGTAAGAACACATATTGCAATGATGAAAAGAGGTGCAGGTCTAATGGCTGCTCTATTTGGTGCTGTTTTTGCTCTAATATTGAGCTGTGCAGTTGGGCAAACTGCACACATAGTTGGAGGCTCTGTGGGTTGGACAACCCGAATCCCCAACGCCACGTTCTATAGTGATTGGGCTTCCGGCCAGACCTTCCGGGTTGGAGACACTCTCGGTACGTATTTCTTATATTAATTTGCATTTTTTGGAGACAATTATGAGTAGTGATGTAATGAGCTGAGCTTGAACATTTCGAACTCGTGTTTGAATATGTTCGAACAATGTTCGCGTTCGTTTAGTATTGTGACAAATACTCGTGTTTGTATAATTGTTGTTCTTCAAAGTTCGAGGTTCTTTGTACTCAGATAATTTACCAAACAAGGTTACAAGAATTATTTGATTATCATAATAAACCGAATTCATTTTGTTTGAAATTGTTCAACTTGGAATATTAAAAATTTTGAACACATTTGTATATATTGGTATTTTATATATTTTTTTTGTTAAAAATGTTTTACATAAAAATAATAAACAAATAACATATGTGTTAAACTAATATTTGAGAACATTATTAAACATTAGTGAACAGACTCGTGTTCATTCTATCGACGAGTGGGTCTTTATTCGAATGAGCAGTTGTTATCAAACGTTCGGCTGGTTTACGACGGTAGTCCTTCTCATGAGATTTAATTTTTTTTAATATAGGAAAATAATAACTAATAAAAAGATAAATAATCACAAATTTTGTTGGACACCAAATAAAATACAAGGTATAATAAGTAACCGTGTCTAATTATTTTGTTTACTTATTTGTCCAGTCTTCAACTTCATGACCGGCCTACACGACGTCGTCCAAGTGCCCCAAGCATCCTACACCGCCTGCAGCGGCAACGCCGCCATAGGCAGCCCCATCTTGACCGGCCCCGCCAACGTCACCCTCAACACAACCGGCAACCACTATTACATCTGCACCTTCGGCTCCCACTGCCAACAAGGTCAGAGGCTCAGCATCTCCGTCAGATCCTCCACCGGCGGCGGCGCCATCCCGCCGACGGCCGCCCCTCCGACTACCTCCGGCGGCGCAATCCCTCCCACTGCCACCTCCGGCGGTGCCAATCCTCCGGGGGCCACCTCTCCGACCTCCCCTGGCGCCGGAAGTCCTCCGGGCACCCAGGGTCAGCCTGGTTCGGGCGCTGCTTCTTGGGCCGGCAGTTTCTTGTTTGTCGTGCTGTCTGCCGGAGTGGTTCTCGCCGTCTAATAAGCCCGGAGATGAGTTTGTACAATCATTTTATTGTCTTGTAATTTTTTTGTTTTGTTCCTTTTGTATTCCCTTCTTTTATACGGCCGTTCTCAGCAGTTGATGATCTCGAGGGTGTAGCACATTTCTTATTTCGTATAGTATTGATTACTTGATGATTATTAATAAAATTCTCGTTTATTTGCGAAAAATAGAGGTATTTAAAAAAATCATTAATTAGTTAAACATGTTAGGATCAACAATTCAAAACCCAGTTCTCCATCAAGTTCAACATACAAGCCTAAATGGGGTTCCACTCTAACACCAATTGGCAATAGAGGGAGTAGCCCACTAAGCTTATATATTGAACTTGAACCGATTAATTTTCCGATGTGAGATTGGGTTTGCACACCCAACAAAACATTCGTTCAATATCACTAAACACCACATATCAATCAAGCCACAATCATAGTTAATTCTTCCCACTAACTGAACGTGGAAGAATGTTGACAAAACTTGCCTTAAGTTGATTTCCATGCAATATGACGGTCGATTTCTAAATGTTTAGTACAGTAATGAAACACGGGGTTAGCCATTACACAAGGCCGCTTGATTATCATGCCATAATGGAATTGGTGCAGGGACTGGAAGACAAAAGTCCTTGAGTAGATAAGAGAGCCACTGTAATTCACACACAATGCTACTAAGAACACGGTACTCGGCCTTTGGGAGATGACCTGGAAACTGTTGCCTGTTATTTTGTTTTCCATTACATTCATTAGAGGGTTGTTTCAAACCATACATTAATCCCTCCTGTGAGTGGCAAATCTGACGAGATAACACATTCTTATATACTTCAAACGCGATAACATGTAAATATCTTCAGTAAGTGTCATGTAAGAATGCATTATTTATGTCCAAATGATGCAAGGACTAGTGTTTCTGTGTTGCCACAACTTCAGAATTAAATTGGATGCTTTAACTCTATCATGGAAAGAGGGAGTAGGCCCCTTTATGAGCTCTTAGTTTTTTAGCTTATCTAGCTACGAGAGCCCTGGTTATGACACAGACGGAGTGAAGTTGTCCTCATGTGATAAGCCGAAAAATATGCATATTTTATATGTTTAATTTAATAGTATATTTTTTTACAATTATTATTTCTTTGTGGATGAAAGAGGTTATTGATGATAGTTCAAGTAGCATTTATCAGAATGTTCGAATCCTGGATCAATTAAGGCCCAAAATTAAAGACCCAGATTATTGGCCATAATACTTGAACACGTCATTAGGCCCGCTCGCCAATTGAAAGACATGTTGCTGAGGGATGTAATTTACAATTTGTCGTTAGATCTGAAAATCGATGCAAATTTTTGCACCATACATATATTTTCCACATCATAAAAAGGTATTAAATACGCTAAAATCATATCAACGCAGTGCTAAATTGTACATAGGCAAATTAACTTGGGGCCAAAGTGCAATTTGTATCCCCTTCGAAAAATCGGAAAAAGAAAAGAAAAGGAAAAAAAAAAAAATCTAAACAGAAAAATCCGTACCCTCGTGTGTTGCTATGGGAGTGGGGTCCACACCGACCCTCGCCCCATTCCCACCGCCGCCGTCCTCGTCATAATCACCGCCGTGGATCTGATCGAGCACGAGGACAAGCCCCATGGCAAAGGCGCCGTCGAGGCCCGGCCTCAGAGTGAGCACGAAGACGTCCTTCCCGAGCACAACGTTAGTGGTGGCGTCGACCTTGCGGCGGATCTCGGCCACGGCCTCCTTGTCGGCGTTGAGGATGCTGCAGTTCCGGCAGGCGAAGGAGCCCTCGATCTGGTACTCCTCGCCGGGGCTGTACACTTCCACAGTCATGCTCGACCGCCCGATGATCGAAGATCGCCGGACGCTGAAGAGAGGCTTCTTCCCCTCCGCCCCCTCGCCGGCGAAGCCTTCCCATCGCTGGTGGAGGCTCGGCCTCTGAGTCGGAAGACAAAAGCGGTGAGTTGACTCGGCAGGTTGAAAAGCATATATCGGTTTTTAATTAATTCCTTAAACGAAATTAAAAAGTCATCAGGAATTTAGTTAATTTTACCATAAAATTTGTATGTTTCAAACACAAAATAACAAAGCACCCAAATTAAGGTGTATAGTATGAAGTGTGACTCAAATGTGATTAATAATATATCTCACTCACTATGTGGGTTGACTCATTTGATGTTTTCAAATCCTGAGAGAAATGTGTGTAAATAGTAAATTAAATACCACAAGAAAATGCTACTTTGTTCGTGAGAAAAACTTAAATCAAAGCCCAATATTTGTGAATCCGCAATTAATCGATAGATACCTTGCGGCGGACGGTGAGGATGCACCTGCCGGAGGCATCCATAAGCACGAGTTCGCCCGAGCCGCCGGCGTCGGGGCCGTACGAGTCAACCCGGAAAACGAGTTCGCCTTTGGAGTCGTAGGCAGTGAATCCGTCGCCGGCGAAGAAGAGTGAAGTCTTGAGCACGGTGAGATGCGTCTCGTCCTCGTACACGTATGCTTCCTCCACAATCGCCATGAATTTCTGATTTTAGATTAATATTTGTTTAGAGTGACGGAAAAAATAAAGGTTTTTTATTCGATCATTGTATTGATACAAATATGGATTTTTCTTATAAAAGGCCGTGTAAGTTTTTTTTTTTTTTTTTTTTTTTTT